TCCTGGGAGCTATGGCCTGCCGGCCTCGTCTTCGCTTTCTTCGGCGTCGGACAGAAGTAACCGAGCATCACGCTCGTCCGCACTCGCTCGCGCCAACTCTTCCGAGAGGGCGAAACCCGTAGCACGGATCTCCTCGATGGTCTTTCTTCGAGACTTGTAACGAGCATATTCTTCAATCCTCTCTTCGCGGTCGAGGATCCTTCTCAGCTCATCTTGAGCATCGGTAGCGTCCTTTAAATAGATCTTCATCTCCTGGTCAGCCTTAGTTCGACTCATTACGGCTTCAGCCCGGGCATCAACGATCTCAGCCCTGACCTTCGAAAGCTCGGACTCAAGCTTCGTAATCATATCTGTTTGAACCGAAGCGTCATCACGAGCTAAGCGAAGTTGAACCTCAAAAGCAGGAACTTTAGCCAGAGCACCCTTCCCCTCTAAAGCTTGAGTCTCCACCCGAGCTTTTAGCTCATCATGCTTACGCCTGGCTCGGCCAGCTTCATCCCGAAGGCGCTCTAGGGCCTCCATCTTTTTCTGCAACTGAAATAAACGAAGTGTTAGCCTCAGAAGCTAGAAGGCGGAATGCACGCTCACTCAGGACAGAAAATTACCTGCTCCTTCAAGTACTTCTTATAATTCAAGCTCCGGCTCACCTCATACCGCAAGCGTACCAACTCGACTTCCTTTTCATCGCACAGGAGCCTAAGGGATCTCTCCTCATCCAGAGCTTTCCGCAGCCTGGCTTCACGGCTAAGCAGCCCGGACTTGCTTGTCGAAGGCCTGCAAAAGAAAACCCAATAAGGAAGGGAAGGTGCGAAGTTCGAAAGGCCTGTGCCGAAACTCACCACGAAGTGAGGCCGCTGGGCTTCTTCGAAGGCCGAGCGCACATATGCCAACCTAGTTCCCTCAGCTCTGAAAGGGTCGACTCCGGTCGAGGCACGGTCGCTCGGTATATGCGACCCCGGGTTTCTAGTATCCCTCGAAGTACTGTCAACGGAAAAAGAAGGCGACAGCCACGAGGAAACCATCTTTCCAAAACCAGGAACCACGAACGTGGCAGGCTCGGACGATGCTTCCGCTCCAAAGCCCCGATCCCGTTTTGCCTTGCTTTGAGCGCCATCGCCCTGAAGAAGCATCTCTCACTTATTGTTGTCGTTCTTTAGCCGGGAAGCTGGCAACCCTTCCCCCTCTCCAGAGGAGCGCGACCTCGCCTCGGAAGGCTCTTCGATGCCTACAACAACAAGATTAATACGCATAAAGGGAAAATGTCTCTCCAAATGAAGGAAGGGAAAGGAAAAAATAGCACAACACGCACCATGATGTTTTGCTTCCCATCTGCCCCGGGACAAGGCTCGCCACTTGCGCTCATCACAGGTCGAGTGGGTCGCCAACATCTGAACCCAATCCTTTAAATCAGGAACGTCGTCCGGCGCCCATGAAACCGCTGCAGAAAAAGAAAAGAAGCCGGCTACGAAACCAATTTTCGTCATAGACAAAACTGAGAAGGCACGGAATGCACCACTTACGTGTATAGTCCATTCCCCAGGGAATGGCATAAGCTCCACGGGGCTAATGTCAGCGGTCTGCACTCGGATAAAGCGACTCATCCACTCCCGGTCTCCATCTTCCTCATCATCAACAGCAAAGGGCGTGGTCGATAGGCATCGCAAGGTTAGCAGACCTCGATGGTGGAAGGGCCAGTACAACCTAATAAGATGACAGAGCGTAAGTTCAAGCCCCGCCTTCTCCGCGAAAAATCTCATTATCAACACTGTTCGCCAAAATGACGGGTGGATCTGTGCCAAGGTAACCCATACTTTAAACAGAAGTCGAGCACAACCCTATCAAGGGGGCCCAGTATGAAAGGATATGTGTACACATTAAAAATCCATCGACACGATCCGTGATGCCCTCATCCGGGGAAAATGTCTGTAACACTACTTTCTCCCCCCATCCGCAGCCTTTTCTCACTAACTCAAGGTGCTCTTCTCCTATCAAAGAAGTAATCTTCAAGGTAAACTCTCGTTGGTCCTGAATGCCGAAGGAGGAACTCTCCCCTCTCTGCCGAACAGACCCCGATGTAGCAGTCATGACTATGGCAAAATTAGAGAACTAAAGTAGGAATCTGTGCGAGTACGTTAGTACTGAAATAATGAAAGACTTAACGCAAAAAAAGAAGGGTAACTACTTAGAATGGTGGGATCTCCAAGAAAAGCAGAAACAACCCTATATATGGAAAAAACCACATCATCGTAAGTCCCGGGGTGGTACCCAACCTCGAGGACCTCCATTAGAAAAAGGTTAGGCTCTAGGAAGCCAATGACATCATCACAAGCCTCGAGGTGGTACCCGACCTCGGAGACCTCCATCAAAAAGAAGTTAGGCTCCAAGGAAATAAGCACTTAAACACTACCCGTATGGGCTTGGCCCCGGGTACCGTCTGAGTTTGGGCAAATCCTCTTCCGGGATCTATCTATAGCGCCTTCAGGCTATCTACGCTAAGTTCGACGCAAGTTTTTAGGTGGCCCGAGTTTGAACGAACCTCCACTCGGGGACTGCTCTCGAAAGCTTAAAGGCAGTCCCTATCCTCGGACCTCCGAGCAAATTTCGCCTTAAAGACTATCGCGGGGCCTAAGTGATAAATCACGGTCTCAAAGCTCGAAGCGTTACTTTCATTCAACTCGAAGTAAGGGTCTCGACGACCCGAGTTTATCGGTTCAATCCAGGCTCGATCCAAGGAACGGCGAAGGGTTCCACGAGAGGTCGTATTAGTCAATCAAAGGTCAGGAAAAATACTCACACCTGGGCTCGATATTGGCAGCAGCCGATTGAATCATGCATTCAGAGTCTCCATAAACGCAAATAAAAGGAAATATAGCAAACATCGAAGACAAAATTGAAGAAACATCTTCACATTCATAAAAATTTGATTACAAAAGCCCACGAGGGGTTCTTACATATGATTGCAAAAGCCCATAAGGGGTCCTTACACAGAAACAAAGAAGAGAAAAAGTACACCTGTAGCAAAAGACAAGAGCCTAATCTATTCTCAAAGGTTCATCCTCGGCAGCAGCATCTTCGAACACCATCTCCTCGGGAGTCTTATCTCAATCCTCCAAAATGGAATCTTCAAAAGGGAAGATGAAGAAGAGGAAAGCGATGGAGAAGAGCAAAGTGACGCAGAAGAGGCAGAAAAGGAACAAAGAAGTGGCTGGGTGAAAAATCTGGCTAGTATGGATTTCGTTAGTGCTACTATAGTAAAGCCACTTCTTGGGACGTTGCCCCGGTGCGGGATGCAACAGTTTGTAGATAGTACCTCCTCTCTCCACGGAAAGAAAAGGGAGTGAGGCGCCGCACCGAGTAATCGGGGGAGATGAGCAGCGGTGTATAGTCCGAACTCCCTCGTGAGCAGCGGTGTAGAGTCCAAATATTTCCCTGAGTCAGGAGAAATCGGCCCCCTGCTTCGTCGTCCTGAGCCAACGACGACAACAACAATAACAACAACAACAACAAAACAGTGTAGTCTCGCTCGACAAAAGAAAGTCCAGGAGACATGCCGTGGCATGACTGATAGAAACGATGCCATATGATCTTGAGGCCATGAGCCTTAAACATGGTGAACGACAATGGGTAAGGATGGTGAAAAGAGAAGGATGGATAGATATGGGAAGACACTTGGGTGAAAGGTTGATCCCAGGAGGCTCCCATTTATAAAAAGGGAGGCAGCGTAACCAATGGCGACATTATTGCCCTCGAAAGACGTAACGGCAGGCACATTTAATGCGTCCTTGGGAGCTGAACCGACGGCTGCATTATAGCTTTAAAGAATGAGAAACCGTAATGCTTTGAATGATCCTGGAGAAGTGAAACGACGGGATGTTTCGATTTTCACGGAGGTTTGCGTCATCGGTATGACGTCATCATGGGAAGTCTGAAGAGTCAGATGTCAAAATCGTTTCTTATCGCTCCTCTCTAAGAAACGTGGGGACTATCTGTATACGGTGAAACCGGAGGGTCCAATTCCTCGTCATCGAGGCACCTCAGATGATCGTCTCGAAGGCTCGAGGCAACAAGGCTACGGTCGAGTTTCCTCTCTCGAGGTTCGTCGACACTCGACCTAGGGACAATGTTGACTATGCTATGATAGAAATGGGGAGTTCCCAAAGCACACGAATAGGGCTGACAGAGCCTAGTAGATTGCCCTAACCCTGAATCAGGGTGTCATCTGGTTGTCCCATCTCCGCTTCTTTGTCATTAATGTATTTTGTACTATGTTAGGATTCCCCTCCTATATAAAGGAGATCCTTGTCATTTTGTAAACCTCTGTTGCTTTAGTTGCTCCACACAAAATATACAAGAAGATTGGCTCTGCTATCTAACACATTCTCTTTATATTATTGCTTTCATTTATTATCTTCATTATTGTTCATCATTTATTGCTTATCATTGACCATAAAGAACATTCGTTGATTTTATAAAACTATTAGTCATACGGCCAATCATATCATTGGCCATATGACTTTGTTAGCCATACTTGGAGCTTCGGAATCGACAGGCTCGAGGCCCCGATTGTTAACCTATCGGTTTGGTTATCGCCTTATCCTTAACTCCTATTCCGTGTCTAAGTCTCACATACATAGTATCAACTGCTCACCAACTAGTATAAAAATAGATCACGTATTTTTAGAGTCCCATAATCAAATTTAATTGTTATTACCATTTTCACGGTAAACAAGTTAAGTAGCTATTTAATTTGATTAGGGGTATATAATAGAAAAGCAAGAATCACATTACACAAATGAATAAGCGCCTACATTTGGTTTATGCATCTGATGGTCAGACAGAGATACCAAATCTGTCCATTAGGGAAAAGAGTGTTGGACAATCCCTTTGCTCAGAAAATGTCAACCTGAGCACACACCATAGTTACATATTGCTTTTGCAAAAAAAAAAAAAAAAAAAAAAAAAAAAAAAAAAAAAAAAGGAAAGCAAAAGAAGCCTGTCAGTTCTCAAATTCACAACTTACAATTGAACAGAAACAACCTTCTTTTTTCGTTTTTGAACAGGGAGATTTTCCTTTATATTTTTCCAAATGACATGATCATATATCAGGAGCTAAAATACTAATTAAGCTTCGATTGTACTTCATTTCCAGCAATCTCACAGCAAATGTTTCTACATCTTGAATGTCAGAAGAGACACAACATAGTGCACTGAGAATTTTTAAAAATAATAACGTGGCACAACCATTTTGATCTTTCCTATAAGAAATAGCTAATAAAATATTTTCACTTTTAAATACCTAAATTGCATCCTCTTTTTAAACATTTGCAGGCAGCTGCACCATACTCCTCACCCTTGTTGTGTCCAATACAAACGTTTAAATTGCTTCACAATATTTTACAAGCTGCAACAGAGGATATAAACAAATGAGTCAACACAAATATGAAACATGGAAAATCAAATAGAACTGGAGAATACATAAGCACCACATCAGCATCTCAATATCACACATGAATCATTCTGGAGAAGCATAGAGAATATAAATAGACGAGTAGAAAGAGATATGAAACATGAGATATCACATAGAACTGGACAATACATCTTCCACCGCATTGTATCTCAACCTCCCACATAAATCATTCTTGAGACTACTTGTCGAGGGAACAAAACAAATGGAAAGTACGACTCCTGAGTTTCTACCCTATTTCGAAAAAGGAAAAGAGCAGCGTAATACAGCTAGATTGAATGAATTTGGTGAAGCAAACAAAGCTAATTTCTCTGTCATACTATTTCCTTAATCCACCGAAGAATGAGTTGTAATGGTCCCCTCACAAACATAAACAGAAAATTTTAAATCTTAACCAAATAGATAATTGGTAATATCTATCTAATCATTGCACGATTTCAGAAGCTGATTGAACTTAATGTAGGTCGAATGCACATGCTGAGAATTAGCGACTAAAGGTGTCAAGTAACTGTTTGTAAAACCTCCCCCTACTTTAAGGATTCACAAAGCAAGCTATGATGCAAAATAAACTACAACTCTATGATGATAAATAACTTATTATTTACCTTAAATACATTATAAACAATGATTCATTCTCAAAGGGCAAAATTCTGTTACATTTTGGGTGTAGCAATATACCATTCATTTGTTTTTCCTGATATATCAAACTATAGCAAAGTGAAAAACACTCTTCCTACTCTTGTCAGTTGATCTTCTTGTGACTATTTGCATCATACTTTCCACTCACTCTGCTACTGAAATAATTACTACCTCTGTTTCAAATTAGATGACAAACTTTCCTTATTAGTCCGTTCCAAAAAGAATGACACATTTCTACAATTGGAAATATTCAACTTTAAACTCTCATTTTACCCTTAATAGGAAGCTTTTATAACCACACAAATGTCATAACCCCACAAAACTTTTACCCCTTAAGCTTTTAAGACCACAAGTTTCAAAAAAAAAAAAAAATTTATAAACTTCGTGCCGAGTCAAACTAACTCATCTAAATTGAAACGGAGGGAGTAAGAAACATGGAGGCCAAGTTGACCAAAAAAACATAAAACCAGGTAATCTTATATGCTAAGAAGAAGATAGGCCAACCAGTCTCTACAATATTGGAAAGGCCAAAGAAAATAATTGGCAACTATCTTGAGAAATCCCAATCCCTACTTAACCTTTGGAAAGTAAACAAATTAGCAGATGAGGGAACCTATGTCTAAAATGTGGTTTTTGACATATTAAACCAATTTGCATAAGATATGTAGCAGGCAGTAAAGTAGGGCACCTTAGAGAGAATGAAATCATATTCACAAATGTCAAGTACAAAGAGAACAGATGAGGGAAAACGAATTATGAGTTCTTAACAAAACGAAAATTAGTGCAACCAGAAAACATGTCACATGAGTTACTTCACCTTCCGCTTTTCATTCACTCAAGAAATAATTACTGCATTAGTCATATAGTTGTCATTTGATTCAATTAGTTGGTGCAAGTGAGTATATAATCATCAAACTTCTAAATTAAATAACTAAACAGTGTAAAGTTGTATGAACTGATATCTAGAAAATAATCTAAATAACCTGATAAATCATTAAACAACTACAGTTGTAATAGTTTAATGTAACTTACTGACTTAAATTAGAGGTGCTTTAGTTACAGGTTCATGTGAACCAAGTAACTTTTGGCTCAAATCTGGTATATGTGTTAAAATTCACAAAATAAATACTAGTAATGAATTTCTACGATCCAGTAAATCAAATCAAATAGGTTGCGGTAGAATTCCAAACTCAAAGCCGTAACTTAAAGTCGGTATTTTAGAACTAGTCACAACACCACAATGAAATCTAGCGAAGATATGAAAAATTAAAAATAGATCAAAAGGAAGCTCGTAACAATCAAACAAGCGGGAGACGTACAAAAGAAATAAGAGCAAGAATTAAGGGAGTCGATCTCCAAGTTGAACAGCTAAACAAACATCATAAGAATGCTTAAAACATTATTAACTATAAAAGGAAAAAGAGTTCAACAATTCTTACGTTGAACATCTTTTCTTGGCGGTTGAGAGGAAGGCGGCAAAGGGCAGAAAATGGCGCGTCCAATCATTGACAAAGTAGAAACAATCCCAGCAAGATACCAAACCATCACCAACCCAAGAATCCATGGCAACATGAAAAACCCAATAAAGAACGTTACAGATCCACAGATCATCAAAGCCATAGAAATACCCAGCAGCAGGGATGCGAAACCCGCCGGAGTAATCTGCTGCATCGGCGGCCTCGCCGGCGCCGTAAGCTGGTCGGAAAACTCGAACGGCACCGTCGTTGGAGATCGGAGAATGTTAAGAATCATAGTGGAAAGATCGTACAGAAGCTTAGATTGTGGATCCTGTTGCCTTCTCATCATGTTGCTGCTAAAGTTTCTGTCTTTTTTCTTTTTTGGCAAAATAATAAAAAAGGAAGAAGATTAAGAGGAGCAAAATAAAAATATCTTAGAAGGGGAAAAAGGGGGATAATGAAAAAACCTAGGCAAGTGGATAAAATTTCTGATTTTAATTGATATATATCCAATCAAAACTTTATGGGAGGGGTTTGGTCTGACCAAAAAAGTGAAAGACGCGGCGGTGCTGTTCCGATCACTGATGATTGATCACATACCCGCCCACCCTTACGTTATGTATTAAAAAACCACTTGAATGTTTATTTATATTATTAATATTAATTTAAAACTAAAGAAGAATAAGCGTCAAATTAAAGTAGAATAACTATGGTTAAAATAAAAAATTTGTATTACGAGTTTGTGCTATACATTTATTGCTTTGAAATGAAAATAATGTACCATATCTCTTTTTCTGCCTATCAGAATTTGAATTATGACTATTTAGATTACGAAAAGTCTCTTTGAGAAATCTCTAAAGTGTATGTGCATGTTTTCATTTGGGATTTTTACCTATCTATACTATATATGAAACCTTATTACCCTCAATGTTTAAGGTTTGATTTAATTACAAACTCGTATACCAAATTACCAATCTTATAACATACTTAATTAAGGGTTTAATTAATGGGCAGTTTTTACTCCTTAATTAAAGGTATCCATATATCTCACGTTTCTCTCTCCCCTTAATTCCTAAGATCTGACCATATTCGTTTTCCCCCTCCCATTTCTTTCTCTTCTCCATTCCTTCTTCTTCTCAAAAAATACAGAGATGAGACCCATTGAGTATATCATCTTCATCGTGGTAGATGTTTTCCGCCATCTGCCAGATTTGTAGTATATTGTCTTCAGCAACACTAGCGACGACCCAGTCTTCACATGGGTTCCATGAGAAGTCAAAATTTTTACTTGTATGGTCACCATGAATAAAGAGCAACTCCAGTGGCCCATCTTCTGCATCTTCTGCTGTTTTGTTCTTCATCAATCCTGAAAAAAATTGATTTGTAGTTTATTTGTAGAAATTTTGTAGATAAAGAGAAAATTTTGTAGTCAACATTTTTTTCCAACATAGATTGTATTGTAGTCAACAATTGGGATTTTTTCCAATTCCCATTTTTTTTTTTTTTTGCAGTTGCTGAAGGTTACTGGTTAACACAGTCGAAGAAGAAGAAGAAGAAGAAGAAGAAGAAGACATATTTTCAGAAATTGTAGATGAATTGTAGATAAATTGTAGAAAAATTGTAGATAAATTGTAGACTGTTTTTTGCAAAAGATTTTGTAGAAGCTTTAGTCGTTTTGGATTTGTGAAAACAGAAAACAATGCATCTACAATCAGAATACAAATAATCTACAATTTATCTTCAAGATATCTACAAACTGGATACATTGAATTTTAATATCTCAATTCCCATTTCAATTGTAGCATAATTGGCATTTTCGACATAATTGTAGAAGATTTGTAGAA